CAAAAAAAAATTAAGCTAATCGGTATAAATAGTTTTTTTTACGTTAAAAAAAAACGAGGGTTACTCACCTTGATATATTGTTTACTTTTGAATCCAAATTCAAATTTAAAAGATTTAATTTAAAAAAAATTTTTTTATCAATTTAATTTTTTAAATTCTTCGTCCTGTGCGATCCTGCGGCACGTAGTGCTCCAGGTCTCTGTATTCGGCCCTTCAAAAAGTGTTGTTGATTCAGCACAAAGCCTTCACCAATATAATCATCTCCGTACCTGAAGATTGCATAAACTGCATGGAACTCCGAGTCGTGCTACCGACGTTGGATATTATTTATATTTACTAATATATATGAGCTGGTTGACTCTCATACGTCGAATACGATGGGAGAGTCCCCATATATATATATATATATATATATATATATATATATATATATATATATATATAATCTGTATGATTAAAAAAAAATTTCTTGTTTGTTTACATTTGGGTAACGAAACATTTGTGATTCATGGTGAGATATGTTTCTCTTGAAGATACAATTCTGGTCTTGCCTGAGTAATTGATTCTATGTAGGTCAGTTAGTCAGAGCATCTAGGATTTAATGAGAGCTCCTTCAGTCCAGTTAGACACAGGTTCGAATCCTGACAGATAGCGTAAATTATTCTTTAATAGGATTTCTCGAACATTTAGCAGACGAAAATTTATAATATTCAGTTTAATAAATAAACGGAGCGTCTACTTAAAATACGAGTATCCACTAGATACAACATTTAAAGTGATAAAAATATATGCATATATGTAAAAATTCAAATATATGTAAAGCATATATGCAAATACAATATAAATTTTAAAAAATACAAGACGTTGATGTCAACACGTTTCGTTCCTTGTTTGTTTATTTATGCTTTGATAAAGTTACTCAGGGAGCAAAACATGTTGGTATAAAAGGAATTTTTTTATTCCATCAATAAAAACATTATTTAACCTGAAGAAGTACTTTCGAAGGATGAAACGTTTTACATTTTTCGAATTTTTCGACATTTTCATTTAATTACGCACTCTGATAGACTTTTACAGACATGTACCTGTGCAAAGTGCTAAGAATATCAATATCAATATAAACACAGGCGGCGACACACAGAGGCGCGGAATCAAGTTATACTTATAAACGTACGGGAAATAATAGCTGAAAAAGCTCCCAGGGGAGCTGATGAACTACTTAAATATTTGTATAACAAGCTGATTTTAGCAAAATTTTATATTCATAGAGTAACCAGTGGTGCACAAATTCCCAAGCAATGCTTGCTGAGACCAGCACGAGTGCTATTAATTATTCCATTTTATACCGGCTAGAATTTGGATATCGAATTTATGAGAACAAATGTTTTTAATAGGGTTGTAATTAAACAATGAAACCTATCTTTTAGACTTACCCATACAGAAATCATAAAGAACAATCTTCCATTGTTTGATCTGTTCCAGATGCAAGTCCTACTTTTTAACCCATGGATGGAGAGAAGAGATGGATTTATAAATTTTCCAAGTGAACGTAATTCTCTCGACTAGAATTCTCAGTTCACTGATTTACTATTTCCATGGAGGTTGACAAACAACTCTCCACATCAACATATCCATGTGCATGGTCATGTACACAAACGTGATGGCTGTCGATTCGTTTATCGACTATGCATATTTCTAACGTTAACATATAAGTCAAGGCAATAAAAATATAGTTTTAAAATATGCTATATATATATATATATATATATGTGTGTGTGCGTGTGTGTGTTTGTGTATTTGTGTGCGTGGAATTGTTGAAATGCTCTAGGCACAATGCACTTCTCTAAAACTGATCCAATGATCAAATATCCGAATTTTTAAAAGTGATACTTAATTGGTATTTAATAATTTACACACACACACACACACACACACACACACACACACACACACACATATATATATATATATATATATATATATATGTGTGTGTGTGTGTATTGAAAATATATATATATATATATATATATTGCTGCACGAATACACAATATATATATATATATATATATATATATATATATATATATATATATATATATATATGTGTGTGTGTATGTATAATTGTGTATTTGTGCAGCAATCCAACTTTTATACAAATTTCGTTAAAAACGACTTACAAGGTACTGCGGTTAAGTTTTGTATTTAAATTTCTCTTGTGTTCTTATAATTTTCTTCTTTTCAGCATAAATTATGAAGAACTTGTCCGAATGTTCCGGATGTCTAAGCGCTTTCGGTTATACTTTTAGCCATTATCAAGGATGATTTTATTTTTACTTTTTTAAAGGATGATTTATTTATTGCTGACTATGAGGTTAGGAATTTTAATATTTTTAGAGTACATAATTCATTTAATTCTCTTGTTGTCGAACCGAGATGTATATTTCTTTATAATATTTCAGAGGAATATATATATATATATATATATATATATATATATATGTGTGTGTGTGTGTGTGTGTGTAGAAAAATATGAAAGAACACGTTAGGTAAATAATCCGGGGTTCATAGGATTTTTTATTTTATTTAAAAAAAAAACAGTGCTTCATACAGAAGTAGAGCTTAAATTATAATTATTTTAAAAAAATATGATTCCTTCGCTACATAAGAGTTCTCATGTTTCAAAAACAAGAGCCAAAAACCTCAATATAATTATTGAAATTAAAATGAATTAAAGTATCAGGCCCTGTTTCATCCTCAAGCGAAAATTTATGAATAACCAAATTAAAAATAAGCAATAGGGTAGGCAAACTAGCTGAAAAGAAATGCTACATCACTCTTAACGACCACAAATAAGATTTTGAGGAAGACCCCAATACTAGAATGATAAACCTAACCAGACCTGACATAGGAAAGATAAGCAAAAGAATCCTAGAAAGGATCACTAGGCATATCAAAAACTGCCTTGGATTAACACTCTGGATTAATACCAAAAAAGCCATCAACTGGTTTACCAACATCAACAATAAGCCTGATTGAACCCTAATACAGTTCGATGTTATGGATTATTACCAGTCAATATCAAGGGATCTATTCACGACTGCCCTGGGGTTTTCTACTGTATATTCTAACTTAAATAAGGAAGAAATGAACATAATTTTAAGTGCAAAAAATCTGTCCTCATTCATAATGGGGACCAATGGATTAAAAACACTAATGACAATTTTGACATCACTATGGGATCTTTAGACTCTGCACAGTCTTCTGACCTTGTCGGTCTATTTATAATATACAATCTAACCGCGCACCGTGAATTAGACATTAAGGACATCGGGCTATACATGGACGACGGACTCATGGTAGTGAGGAGCTCCACAAATTTAAAAATAGATAAAATTAGAAAGATAATATATAGTGAATTCAGAAAACTAAATTTAAAAACTATAGTCAACACTAAATTAAAAAGGGTAAACTTCCGCGACGTAACTCTAAACTTAATGAACAACATTACCTACCTTACAGAAAACCTAACGCTAACCCCTTGTATGTACACCCTAAGTCAAACCACCCTCCATCTATAATTAAGCATATACCCACATCAACAGAGAAAAGAATCAGCATGAACTCCGCTAATAAGGAAATATTCCAACAACACAGTAATTTTTATTACACAGCCCTAAAAAATAGCGGATACAAAACGCTAACATAAATTATAGAAACAATAGTACTAACCAGAAGAAAAACAGGAAAAGAAAAATAATTTGGTATACTCCTCCGTTCAACCAAATGATTAGTATTAAGCTAAGACATAAGTTCCTAGTCTTTATTGAAAAACACTTTCATACTAACAGCAGACTTAGCAAGATATTTAATAAAAACACTTTAAAATTAAGTTACAGTTGGACTGAAAATATAGAAAAATCATAAAGAAACATAGTAATAAAATCCTGGAAAAACACGCGTGACAAAACAGTATTAATAAAAATCTAGCTAATGACTTACCATTATATAGGAGATATTTCTGGGACGTATGTGTGAGAGGTATTCCTGTACACACACACACACACACACACACACACACACACACACACACACACACACACACACACACATATATATATATATTGGGTGACTGAAAAGTAACTCACCAATTTTAAAATAGTTATAATTTATTAACTATAATTTTTACGAGAAATGGATATGAGAAGAAAGCGTTTAGGATGAGCTTTTTCTTCAAATTCGACATTGGCACCAGATTTCGCTACCATCTTCTCGAGCCGCCCAGGAATCACGTTAACAGATTTCACCAAGAACTCTTGTGGTATGGAAGCCGTAACTTCTTGTATTCGCCCTTCAAGTTCTTCCAAAGTCATGATCTGGTGTAGTAGACTTGCTTCTTTTACCAACCCTCAAAGAAAAAAAGTCATAGGGTGTTAAGTCATGACTCCTGGTTGGCCAATCATACATAAAACAGAGAGTTACTTTTCAATCACAATGTATAATGAAGCTAGAGAGAAGGGAGTGGGTGAGAAAGAGAAAAGGGAGAGAGGGAGTTATTGAGAGAACGAAACAAACAAAATATTAAGGAATGTAGATATTTATAAAGCGTAGATTATTCCAACATAAGATCATGTGCTTGAGAATAGATTTTTTTTTATTTCAACTCAAGGTCATATTGAAGAATTATTTATTGTGAAACGAACCCATTAGCAATGGCGTGAGGTACTCGGACTTAAGCCATTGCCCTAAGATAGATAGATATATAGATATGAGGCAGTGATAGTCATGAACAGGAGAGAGAGAGAGAGAGAGAGAGAGAGAGAGAGAGAGAGAGAGAGAGAGAGAGAGAACGGAGAAGCAATCGATAATGAAATATTCCGTGATGGGGGTAGTGTGAAGATTGAATTGCAGTAAACATAGATCGAAATAAAACAAAGAATTTGTAAAAACAAGAGAATGAAGTGAGAAATCGAACGTGACAGTTTGACAAGTTGTTTGTCCATCTCGATAAATCTATTCACTTGGTCGGTTTCTCTTGAACATGTGACACATTCTATGCGGAAGGCTGTGTCTCTGCAGATGGCGTATCAACAATTTCACGAGGTTTATTTTCTTAGCAATATTTACACTACCAAGTATTGAGAAAACGAGCACTTGCTCACTCCACCGTGTACACACAGAGGTATGGTATATATGCACATTAAAGACTATTCTGGTGCGCCAAGACATGCTTAAATTCTTATTCCACAAGTGATCGTTTGTTTTTTACTTTTTTTACCTCTCTAATTTTCACGGATTTTTCCTGTGATCTCTCTCTAACATCCTCACGCACCTCACACTCTCTCTCTAATAATAATACTACAACTATTACTACTAATGAAAATATACAAAACTACAAGCAAATTACTAACTACAATGCTTATATGTATAAATAACTCACAAATATCTCATTACTCAAATATCTCGCAATAATACATTTATATATAATATAATATATATATATATATATATAATTCTTCGCAAAGATTCTTCTCCCCCGGTTAGCGATTTGCAAAAAACCAACATAGTTTATGTTGTGGTAGGATCCACCTAATTTGTATAGTGGGGTACCGACCATATAAATATGGTTGGTACCGGGAAGAGAGGGGGGAATCAAGAGATTCAACCAGAGACTCTGCCCGACTGCGACTCAGTCAACACATTCTCCAGGAACGGTCTTACCAGGAATATACAAAAGACTATATGTAAATATTGTGTACACTTTTCTTGTTTCAATACATTTTGTTCTAAGTACATTTTGTGTTGCATTATTATTCCATGCATTAGTCAAGTTTCAACAGTTTACAAATTCAAGTGCCATTTGGGAGATTGTATCTCCAACGAATTAAATGATATTTATGTTGGTCACACCACAAACTCGCTTTTACGACGCTTGACACTACATTTGAATGAAAACTTTAACATTTTTAGGCATTAAAAACAACATGCCTGGCCGCACACACAATCCCGTAAAATCCTTGTCGAAAACACAATTATACTTAAACGTGAAAACAATAGACAAAAACTAAAAATCCTTGAAGCTATATACATCAAACAGTTGAAACCTAACCTAAACAAAATCAACTATGGAATCTCTACAAATATCCTTAAATGTCTATAATTGGTAACAGAACGGCTTCCCATACTTAATACTTCTCGAATTCACTCTCGCGTGGTCATGTGTGACGTCATGAGCTGCGGTGCGATTTTAGCTTCTAGCGTCTTATATGCACTTGTTTATCGTTGCTTGGAAATCATCCATGTAAACAATCACAAACTATCATCACTGTCTTGTCCGTATATTGCTTAATATATTGTACAGTAGTTGACATCTTTGATAATGGCTTATGTAAGCCGAAAGCTTAGATTGGATTAAAAAATATGGATCAATATTGTGATTTTCATTCTTCGTTTAATGATAATGTTATTAAGCTTATCAGACGTTATGAAAAGAATTTACATAAAATAAATAGACAACACTTGTCTATATTATTTAATGAAACATGTATGAATACATATATATATATATATATATATAGAGAGAGAGAGAGAGAGAGAGAGTGAGAGAGAAGAGAGAGAGAAAGAGAAAGAGAGAGTGAGTGAGAAAGAAAGAGAGAGAGTATCTGCCAAAAATATATACCCACTTCAGGAAAGTAAAAACTTCTATAGATATTGTAATACTAAATTTATTCAGACATCACAAGATTAATACAAGTTAACTTTGAACTCTCCAATCACAAGAGATGCTCAAAATGATGGCTTTTAGCTACCATACAATTATTGGTACGGCGAGCTATTGCTTGGCCAACGTTAAAAAAATGTATCCAGTGGAATTGCTGCACATGCATTTTCAATTCCTTGTCACCAATATAAAGAAAATATCGTACTACAGTAAACAGTGTTATCGCAATTATACGAAAAAGTACTTTCCTGAAATTTTTTGCGAACTCTGTATATACGAGTACTATATATATATATATATATATATATATATATATATATATATATATATATATATATATATATATATGTGTATGTATGTGAGGGGTGTGTATGTTTGTTTTGGGTGTGTTGAACTGCTGAAATGCTGTCGGCACAATCCACTTCTCTCTATCTGATCATCATACTTTTTAAAAGAGGTTCTGAGTTGGGAATGGATACTTTTCAGTGCATCCTTGCGCGTACGCACACACACACACACACACACACACACACACACACACACACACACACACAAATATATATATATATATATATATATATATATGCTCAAGTCCTAAGTACCTAAATATATGTACCTAAGTGCGTATCCTAATGAGAAAAAAGAATTTATGTTACGCAAGAAATATACTTTCAACACAATCTTCTTTCTTGTTAACGCACTTAATACAGTGAAAAATTCTGATTGAAATTCAGCTAATAACTACGTATCAGGGCTTATTGACATCCTAAACGAAATAAACAGTTTAAAATAAACGAACCGTCTGAAATATGGGTAAACATTTGAAATAACATCTATCTATCTATCTATCTATCTATCTATCTATCTATCTATCTATCTATCTATCTATCTATCTATATGTGTGTGCGCGTGTGTGTGTGTTCGTGTGTGTGTATATGTGTCGACCCTTCTCTCTATATGGATTAGGAATTCTATCTTTCACAGTTTTTTTGTATTTTGTTATCCCAAGTAGTACTTCTACATCCCTTTTGTTCGCATTGTCGTATTCGTTTCGCTGTCCATTTGATCCAATATTTCAAATATGTTTCTCCTCTTTCTATTGATTTCGATGAGCATGTGTGTGTGATTACGACAACAATGATGATGATGATGATAATGAAGATGATAGTACTGATGACGATGACGACGACGATGATGAGGATATGATGATGATGATGGTGGAAAATGTCAGGATTGTAATGATAGGACGGTAAAACTCAAAGAAAGAAAAAAGTCCTGTGTATTTGAAATAGAGAGACAGTTTTCAATACTTCTTGCTGTCAGTCATTGCAATATATTCATATAGTTATATGAGTATGTAAATATATTGTTTTTGTTTCTTCATCAATCGATAGTTGTGATTATCTTCGATTTTCCTTCAATGAAACTAAACGCAATATAAGCTAACTTATTCTTCATTGTCTTCTTCACGTCTAGAATAAATGAGCAATTCTTTTATGGTTTTGATCTTTGACACAATTATTCCTAACCGGGATGTAGCGAGAGTTTTGCACTTGAACTACGGACGGTCTTAGTGCATTCCGACACACCGCGCGCCGCTGATAATATTCGACGCGTTGATGGTCCATCGTTTTCAATTTTACTTCTGGCTTCTGATATTTGTTTCATTATATTGACTAATCCCGTACGGTTAGGTGCTCGCCGCTTCCCAGTGGCGATTGATTCCTGTGATTCGCCTTTCATCTAGCAATAAATATATTAATCCGCAAATCCTTTCTTTCGACTGACCGCTCATGAGTGAAAAAGACAAAAAGATGCGCTCGATCATAGTCGTGTTGATAGGATTTTATTATTAATACCGCTCTAAAAGAAGGATTACTATCATAATCTGGTTAAGATCTTTTGTATTTTATCTGATGGAGAGAAAAAGGCCTGTAGGTAATTCTGTCTTTGTTTTAGGGGTCAAGAGAAACATCCAGGGAAGTAAGATGTCCAAATAATATAATTCGCACCAAATAAAAATATCCTCATGTAATGGAATAAAAATTAAGTAAAGACGTGAACATTTATTGATTAAAATAAATTTTCGGATATGAAAGAAAGGTGGGCGATCACGACTCTCCACTACTTCATACCTTTTGTAGCAATAGTAATATTTGTCCCCTTAATATCCCTGTTTTGGCATTTATTGACACAAATTAGATAAAATACTCGTATTTTGCTTCAGCCCCTCTTGCCTGTGAGTGTTACATTCTCCAAACCTTCTTTTCTCATTTTTGTGTTCCAGAAATTTCCACTGATTCTAAGTAAAAGTTCTTCGTTGTTCACATGCTCTGTCCATGGTACCCCAACATTCTTTCTGTAGAGCTTCAAATCTCCTCTTTTCTCTGTGATCAAAGTGTCCAGCATTCATTGTCATACAGAAGGATTGTGATTACATAGCAATTGAGCGTTTTTATTTTAGTTTCTAACTACTTTCAGTTTAATAATACTTTGTTTAGCTTTTAGAAAGGGACTTTTACTATTCTCCCTGTGTGCCTTAGGATTTCAAACACATGTTCATTCTTCTATTAAAAGATGTTTAAATTTCTGAATTTCTTGATTTTGACACCTTAAGCAGTTTCCTGTAATAACGTCCGTACACTTTGTCTTCTTGCAATTGATTGTTAGTCCTTTCTTCCTGTTTTCCTTTACTACTTTGTTTAGGAGTTTCATGCAGTTTTGTTTCTGTGTCTGTCACTAACACTGACATCTGTGCATCTTATGTTGTTAAGATTGCGTCCACTAATAATAAATCCTGGTAGGACTTATACTTCTCTTATGGATTGCCTTGCTGTTAAGGTTAAATAAATACTGTGAGAAACCTATTCTTGTTTTACGCCTCTTTCTATTTTTATGAACTTGTTCGGTTCATTTTCTATCAATATTCAGGCAGCTTGCTCCTAATAAATATTCTGGATTATTCTAATATTTTTCTAAATTAAATCAAGTTTTCCTAGCAGTTCAAATAGATCTTTGTTTAGTAACTTATCAAATGTTTTATATATATTATATGAAACATAAATTTACTTTCTTCTGCGTTAATACTATCTATGTATATAAACAAATATGAAATGGTAGAATACAAACTATAAGAATAAAACTATTTGGTTATATTTGAGCTTCATCAAAGTTGGCTTATGTGGCTATAATTACAAAACTGGCCTTTAAGAAAAATGGCATTCGAATTCGAATCTCGTTGAAGGCTGATTCTTTGTTTCTGGTCTCCGTTGTTTACTAACG